CATCTGATGTGCTTGTGCATTGCCAAGGTTAGACGAGGATGCATGAACATCCTGGTTTCCATCTTCACTGTAGCCTTCCAATATAGAAAAACCTGCACCCATTTCACCAGTTCCTAGCCACTGAAAGTTAAGAGAAAATGCATTAGACTTCTTACAGAGTTTACCACTTGTACTTCCACAGGACTGTTAAAGAGAATATCTCTGCCCTCAAAAAAATATGGATTACTCAAGTTCTGTGACTCACCCCTTGCATACCAGACGGTCCAGCCAATGCCTCAACAACAGCCTCAGGTAACGGTTGTGGATGTTTTGGATCAATTTGGTTATATTTGCCGTGTTCATCTGTCGATCCGTCAACCCCACCGACTGTTCCATAATCCATAGAAGAATCGTGTTGTGCATCCCCTTGGCTGTCATCAACGGTTTCTACCATCTCTTCTTTGACTAGAGTCTCATCTACATTGTCCTGAAATAACCAGATTAAAATATACATGAGAATTACATGATGAAATACTCAAAATGTGTGAATGTAGGAGTGTGAAAATGCATATGCAAGTGTGCAAATGCACATAAGAAGGTGTTAAAGCACATCAGGGTGTGAATGTGTGACTGAGCACCTGTGCATATCTGTGTGTATATGTGTGTATGTTGATATACATACATGTGTGTATGTTAATGTACATACGTGTGTCCATGTGTGTAAATCAATGTACATGTGTACATTGTGTTTGTGTACATGTGTGTACGTGCATACATAACTGTATATGTGTGTATACATATTTATACAAGCATGTGTTCATAAATATGTGTGCATACATGTATGTGTACGTGTATACATGTACATGTATGTGTACACATGTTCATGTGTGTATGTGTACACATGTTCATGTGTGTATGTGTACACATGTTCATGTGTGTATGTGTACACATGTTCATGTGTGTATATGTGTATACATATACATGTATGTGTATAAATATACGTGTATATGTTCATGTATACATATATGTCTATATGTGTATGTGTATACATATATGTGTCCATATCTCTGTGTACATGTATGTCGCGTATGTGTACATGTATGTCTGTGTATGTGTACATGTATGTCTGTGTATGTGTACATGTATGTCTGTGTATGTGTACATGTATGTCTGTGTATGTGTACATGTATGTGTGTATGTGTACATGTATGTCTGTGTATGTGTACATGTATGTCTGTGTATGTGTACATGTATGTCTGTGTATGTGTACATGTATGTCTGTGTATGTGTACATGTATGTCTGTGTATGTGTACATGTATGTCTGTGTATGTGTACATGTATGTCTGTGTATGTGTACATGTATGTCTGTGTATGTGTACATGTATGTCTGTGTATGTGTACATGTATGTCTGTGTATGTGTACATGTATGTCTGTGTATGTGTACATGTATGTCTGTGTATGTGTACATGTATGTCTGTGTATGTGTACATGTATGTCTGTGTATGTGTACATGTATGTCTGTGTATGTGTACATCTATGTCTGTGTTATGTGTACATGTATGTCTGTGTATGTGTACATCTATGTCTGTGTATGTGTACATCTATGTCTGTGTATGTGTACATGTATGTCTGTGTATGTGTACATGATGTCTGTGTATGTGTACATCTATGTCTGTGTATGTGTACATCTATGTCTGTGTATGTGTACATCTATGTCTGTGTATGTGTACATCTATGTCTGTGTATGTGTACATCTATGTCTGCGTATGTGTACATCTATGTCTGCGTATGTGTACATCTATGTCTGCGTATGTGTACATCTATGTCTGCGTATGTGTACATCTATGTCTGCGTATGTGTACATCTATGTCTGCGTATGTGTACATCTATTCTGCGTATGTGTACATGTACGTCCGCGTATGTGTACATGTACGTCTGCGTATGTGTACATGTACGTCTGCGTATGTGTACATGTACGTCTGCGTATGTGTACATGTACGTCTGCGTATGTGTACATGTACGTCTGCGTATGTGTACATGTACGTCTGCGTATGTGTACATGTATGTCTGCGTATGTGTACATGTATGTCTGTGTATGTATACATGTATGTCTGTGTATGTGCACATGTATGTCTGTGTATGTGCACATGTCTCTGTGTATGTGCACATGTCTCTGTGTATGTGCACATGTCTGTGTATGTGCACATGTCTCTGTGTATGTGCACATGTCTCTGTGTATGTGCACATGTCTCTGTGTGTTGCACATGTCTCTGTGTATGTGCACATGTCTCTGTGTATGTGCACATGTCTCTGTGTATGTGTGTGTGAATGAAGTTGTATAAATGTGGGTGTAAATGCGTGTTTTAAATGTGCAAATATGTTTATAGTTATAAATGAGTGTATACAAATACATGTGGATGTGTAAATACATTTGCAAATTTATATGTGAATATAAATTTGTATGTGAGTATGTATATATCCATGTACACTGTAATGCTAAGGGGGGGGGGGGGAAGTAGCAGTAGTAATAACCACCAAGACCGCATCCCAACTTCAATACAAACATACAGCTAATCCTTTAAAATAGTTAGATGGATGGATAGAGACAGACAGACAGACAGACAGACAGACAGACAGACAGACAGACAGACAGACAGACAGACAGATAGACAGATAGATAGATAGATAGATAGATAGATAGATAGATAGATAGATAGATAGATAGATAGATAGATAGATAGATAGATAGATAGATAGATAGATAGATAGATAGATAGATAGATAGATAGATAGATAGACAGACAGACAGACAGACAGACAGACAGACAGACAGACTGAGACAAATATATAAATATCAACCTACCTGACTATGCGCTGTCGATTCCTGTTTCGTTGAACTGAATTCTTCCCTTTGATCTGTACTGTCATTAAGCCTCTGGTCGGAACTGTCTCCCTTTGGCTCTTCCAGGTGTGTTGTCGGTTGGTCCCAGTTGTGTTCAGTGTCTACATGGTGAGGTGAGGACGGAGGACTCTCTGACGCAACTGCTACCCCCGGAGGAACTGTGGCGATCGGTAAAGGATCTTCTCGTCTCCGTCTTTTTGGGTGTGGACTCGCTCGGTCGTCCCGTGGGATGTATTTTTTGCATTCTTGTCTTGAAGGTGGTTCATCAGGCACAGCTAAGCCTTTAATTTGAAGTAACTCGGCTGCTTTGATCAACCTAGCCAGGTCATTCTGAGCTACACTGACAACACCAGCATACATATAACTTAATAATGCTTCTAACTCGTCAGGTTTAACGTCCTTCAAAACTATGACTGGATGCTTACAAGGTGTGTGCTCAAACATCTTCTCAAAGTATTCACTACATGTTGACAATACCAGCTTGTGGACTGGGTAGAACTTCCCTTCACAAGCTAAAGTAACATCTGTATATCTCTCCTGTTCATTAGAAGAAAAAGAGGAAATTATATACTTATATCTGCAATAGTATTATTTATTTTTTGATATTCCCATTACCTATTACATATCCTTTGTTTCACCTTCTATACAGCAATTGAGATACAAGATCAAATTGTTACAAACCTTTTCGCGTAATGTTGACAGGATGTGACAAAATGTGGCTTTGTGGTTGTTCCACGATAATGAGAGCATTCCATCACCCATCTTGTCATAATATTTTAACACCTGAAATACAACAGAAGAATAATATAAATAAAAAGCTCTGAAACTTTCACTCTTATCAAGACCTAAACCTCTACCAAGTACATTCTAGCAAAATGAAATATGGACTGGTTCCTTAGTTGAAAATATATCACTAGGAAGGTCTATAAGCTCCATCCTCCCTGAATATAGGTACATGAAACTTGGTGGTCTTTACTGCAATGCTTGCTGAGTCACAATAGGTAGCTTTTCAGTATTTGACTGCTAAGTTAAACTTTTTTAAACAGGTGAATTTATATACTCAACTTTCTCTACATGTGGTATTATCTTGCTTTATCTTTGAACATCCCTATGCTAAATTATTAACAATTATGTTTATCACTAAGAAAATATAATAAACCAAATCTAAAGCCAATATTTCCTGATGTTGTCCTATATATCATATTTTCTCACAAAAAGCTAACATCATACTAAAAATTCATAAAGCCCTAAGCAAACGTTTCAAAGGATAACAATAATACATTAGGATTTCTGGTTTAAGAAAACTTAAAACAATCAGTTTCACATATTTCTCCTAAGCCCATCTTAATTCACCAGCAAATTTTGTACATTATCATAAATTCATGAATAAGTTAACAATCCCTTCAATTTTGTGTTTTCTTTAGAACATGCCGTTTCAATGTTTACATACACTGTACACAAAGAGATCCGCTACATGATAGCAGTACTTGCATAAATTAATATAAACTGACACTTCACATGCTTCACTTGATACCAAGCCTCATAAAATGAATCATCTCCCATGCGGTCACCAAGTCAATCATGATTCAACACCAGGATTACGAAATTACAAAAGGTGACCAGAACCGTAACTCAAAACACACACCCTCGGTTCCTTAAACCTCACAACCACCTTCAAGAATAAACTAAGGGAATTTTCTGAACACCACCTCTCACCTAGCACGAGAGAAGTATGCGGCCAATGGAGAGTACACGAGGTGCATGTGGCTCAATGAGGATGCAAGGGGCGTCTCTCACAGCCTCAGCCTCACAGGAACCCCAAGCCGCGCCGGACCGATGCGTCGCGTCCTACGTCACAATGGACCCTTCAAGTGCCTCATTTCAGGAATATTTTTCCTTCTTTTTTCCCTCTCCTGATGCTTGGCGACAACACCAACCTTAATGCAATGTATTACAGAAGACGTAACAGGCCTCTGGAGTTCTTTCTACGCAGCCTACTCGCGTGGCTTCCCGCCGTTCATTGTCCACGAGGTAAATAAGGCAAGGAGGCTCGAGGTCCCCGTCATGGAGGACGCAGGCTCCAACACGAACCCGCGAGTCTTCTCTCAACTGCTAAA